TTCACCTCATTACTCCCACTCTATGCAAGAGTAACATGCTCGCCTGCCCTACTCGATTCTTGATGATCTGACATCTGAAAACATTCAGAATCATCTTACATTAGTAAAGAGTAACTTTACTCACTAATGAGCATCATCAAAGTATGTATATAATAATCAGTAAACTTTTGACATCCTAGTGGTATATATACATTCTTAACAAAATTTTTGACTAATTTCATATCCAGAAACAGCTAAACCGAAAGCTCTTATACCAATAAATGTAACACCTAAAGCCCGTATAATTATGCATATATAGATTATAGATATCACCTGATATTTTCACAATATTTTTCAATTCAAAAACTAATTTAAAATTTATTTTCTTAAAAAAATAACTGATAATATAAAAATATCATAGCACATCAACTATCACATACTATTTAGAACATATATTAGTATGTATTTATGCTATCCATACTGAAAATAGAGTAAAACATTTTAGTTTAGTTATTACAAACCAGTTCCAAAATAATTCAACAGAGCAACTAGGACATTGGTAAGTACATGCCACTAACTAACTCAAAATCACATCATATGATGTCTTACTAATATAGAAATATACTCCTCGATGCTTGATGTCGCTCCGAACTCTTTACTCTACTATTGGTTTTTTACCTACACGTGAAAATCATCACATGCTAAGTATATACTTAGTGAGACAATTTAAAACAATAAACAGTGCAATACAACTCATGCATGAAATTAAATGTCAAAATCAAAATCCCATAAGATCATGTTACCTGCATGTCCAATATTTTACCATGATCAAAACAATATGATAATCGTGCATTATAAAATATTTTCAATAAACCATAGCCCAATATATAAACCTTGAGGACCATGAGTACGCAAGTCAATATAAATAAACACCGTAGTGTTAACCCGAGTTGACAAATAAGGTCGTGTCCACCATATGTACTAGGTATCCTTAAGTACAATCCTGAATATGCAGCCTACTGCTGGACTCTATGGCATGCCAACTATACCATGTCCCTCAATAACTCACTTGGGCTTATAGTCTATTTCATTCATTCATGGTATCTTATAACCATATATTTAACATTAGGGTAGTTCATACCCAAAATAACATCCCTGGTAAAATATCACATTATTCATGATCAATAAACTATAATTTCACCCCGTGACATATAAATGTCATATCGAAGTTATAAAAAATAACATAATATCATGTTGATATAAACAAGGTTGACTTATCGCAAGTCTTCCTGTTGATGTATAAAACATCCATGTACAATGTCATGCATGTATTGCACTCACCTTGACACTATATATCCCAACAGATATGACTCGCTATGATCCACAATAAACCCCTTTTATACTTGACTTGTTTCGATCACAAATCAATCACGATCTGTACAAAATAACAAATTCATAACAATACATATGTTAGTATTGTACTAACATAAACATATTCCCAAAACAAAATCCACAATATACTTGAAACTCATTTTCTTCCAAAATATTTAACACTTAATAATTCATTTTAACACTGGCGACAACTTTTCCAATTTACACAAAATGATCCTTCACCATTTTATCACTTAGATTCTTAATACCAAAATTCCAATATTGAAATTATTACCATTCAAATGCTTTTACAAAGGCATAATTACATTTAAGTACCCCAACTATGCGAATGTTGCACTTAAATCACCAATCTTTTCAAACTTCCAAAATGATCATATTTCACATTTAAACACTCATTTCAATCCCAAAATAATAATTTCCAGCATAGTATATCAATTATTAAACAATTATAAAACCATTCACAACTTTTTCAAAATTGCCAAATTGGTCCCCCCAACTTTTCAAAATTACATAATGGTTCCCAAATTTTTATAAGGATTGTAGAATACTTCCTACATCATTTCCAGCCCTTATATAATTTTTCCATAATTTTCTCACTCAATTACTTCATGGCTGAATACTTTAAATTTAAAAACTAAGTTTTCATGAATTTGCTCAATTTTGATTCAATTCAAGCATGAAATCAACTTCCAATCAACCTTACAACATCTCTACAATCAAATCCCTAATCAACTCTCATCAAAACACCAAGTTCCTCGATTTCTTCATTTGACCGAAATTTATAGAATCATAACTAGGAAGCTTGATAATATCCCTATATTTTTAACTTCTTTTGAATATCATATCAGACACGTTTGTACTATACTGGAAGTTATACGATAAGAACATTTATTTGCTAATGTGGACAAGTTCATGTTTTGTAGTGATAAGCTTATATTTTTAGGCTTTATAGTAAGTGCAGAGGGAATCCATGTAGATGAAGAAATGGTGAAGGTAATTCAAGAATGTTATACGCCATCTTTCATCACCGAGGTAAGATCCTTTTATGATTTAGCAAGCTTCTATCATCGTTTTATCAAGGACATTCACACCAAAGCTAAACAAAGGATGGAGAAAACATACAAGACGGTGGCTTACAGAGTAAACAAAGGCATACGCCATGTAATATTTGAACAGGGTGACTGGGTTTATGCACACTTGAGAAAGGAAAGATTTCCAAAGCAAAGGAAATCTAACTTTGACCCACGAGGTGATGACCCATTCCATGTACTCGAACGAATCAATAACAATGCCTACCACATTGATCTCCTAGGTGAATATAACGTGAGTGCATCTTTTAATGTTTTTGACTTATATCCCTTTGATGTTTTTGATTTGTAGATGAATCTTTTTAAGGAAGGGAAATGATACATACACCACACACCTAAAAACTAAGGAAGATGGGCCCACTCTACCTCTAGGCCCAATCACAAAAATAAGCCAAACCATTCAAAGACAAACTCTAAATTACAGTCTAAGCCTTTGTTAGTAAGTGCCTACACGTCCACATGGAGATTGAAAAGTTAAAGGAAGAAAACTCACTTATCCTTCCTTCCACATCAACTTGGACCTAATTACAAGACTCATGAATATATGATCGTGAATGAGTTTAAAACCCCTTAAGTCACAGAACTTGTAAAGTTACCAGTGCTAAGTTTATAAAGCCTGGGACAACTCATTATCTTAGAATTTTATTATTATTTGTTTTATTTTATTAGGATAAAGGTAAATGGTTCATTGAAAGTAAACCAATGATAGTTTATCATCCTCTAATTTTCTTATCACCCCTTGCCACCTATCGTAAGCCTTGATAACTTATCAACCTTCATCACCTTGCTTATCATAAGCAAGGGCGCCTATATTATCCCTTTTTCAAGCTATGCCACCTATAACCCTTCTAAAAGGCTCATCTGGACTATTCATCAAGTTTCAAGGATCACATGCTTGCTTTCATAAACACCGTCATATCAAAGCCTCATCAAGGGCTCACATTCATGCCACCCCTTCACTTGGATTTAGGATAATTTGTATTATTATTTTATTCTTTAGTCATGTTACAACAAGGACTCCTCAAAACCTATATAAATGATGCTCCTCCCCTCATTGTAATCATCAATTCTTTTCTTATACAACATAACTAGAGTTCATTTTTGTAAGAGATGATAGCCTTATGACTTCAAAGCTTCTTTTTCTTTTAGTTCTTTCAAGTTCTTTGAGAGATAGATCTTCACTCTCTAATTTGCTTTTTCATTACGATTAGGAGGGCTGGTTAGAGTTGTATTATCGAGTTTGTCTTTTCATTGTGACTAGGAGGTTCGATGGGATAATTATCCTTCACATTCATCTTCCATAAACATCATTTTCTTCCCTAAACCACCTTCACGTCACAACCATCCCTATTCTAGGGTTTCTATTATCATCATACCTACCGGGGGTAAATTTCCAAATAGATTTTTCCATCAATTTGACCATACGAGTTTAATTTTGTCTTCACCAATGTGATTCTTAGATTTCTATCTTTCCAACGACTATTTGCTTACTAAAATCCAAGATCAAATCACCATTGGTTGCCCATATCAAAGAGGTAAGTGCAAGTTCTTCATTACATGTTTTGTCTTTTAGTTATCTTTTATTACCCTTGTTTTACCTTGTCTTTCTTTCTCCATCTATTTCATCGTGCTTGTTTTCTTTGTCCTAATCCTTTTTTCCTTGTCTAAATCCAACATATAAACGCTATAAAAAATCTAGCTATAGTCGCTCATATATTCAACAACTTTTTTCTTTTTTTTCATCGAGTCTAGAGCTTTCTAGGTTTGATACATTAATAAGAGTAACATTCATTCATCCACTGCCACATCTCTATCAGTTAGGTTGAAATTATTGTAGTTAAATTAAGGTAAACTAGGTAAAGTATAAGGGATGACAATCTAGTTTAAGATCAAGGAACGACATAAGATGGGCACAACAAAAAAAAGTTTACTTTTTCTTAACATTTTTAGTTGGATCTAACCTAAAATGTTGATTTTTTCTTAACATTTTCGGTTGAATCGAAGATGTTATATTCTTCATAACATTTTCGGTTAGCAAACGAGAATGTTACAATTTTCATAACATTTTCTGCAATAGAATACATCAGAAAATTATGGGTTTAAAACAAAGAAACATAGTTTATTAAGGGATATTTTCATATATCCTTTTTGAAGCAGTACAGTACAGCCACAACCTATAGCGCTCCCTATCATTGATGATGAAGGGTTGTTATCTTCATATATAGAGAGAATTATAGTTTTGAAGCTTGTCTTGGCCTTGGGAACATGTTCCAAAAAAGCTACGGTCCAAATGACTTATTATTTGCAGCACATCCTGCATGACCGGAACGTGTCGTAGGTTCGTCACAGACGAAGACATTATGGGCCGCCGTTGGTTTTAACGCAAAAGAATTTAAAGTTAACTCAAATTCCATGTATCCTAAAAACTTTTTCTAAGAACTAAAGTTCAATCGGAAAAGTTTATATCAGTCAATAGAATGGAAACAGAATTGAAATAGCATGTAATGCAAAAGAATTTCAATCCCAAGCGAGGAAATAAACGAGTCATTGCACCACCACTCCATGCTTGGTTCTCTACTGGTACTAAAAAACTTCAAAGTGCCATGAACAATGATAAGGATGAGAGCATCGATTTTAAGCTCACTCAACGCTCCATTCGAAAAGTGGAGGTAAATATTATTAATACTATGCTTCCCAAAATCCGAACCCAGGGCCTTATTTCTTCTTCTGTTGGTCTGAAACTCTGGCTCCCATAATCTTACAAACAGGCTCATCTTTCGACTGCATAAGCTTTAGAGCAGGGTGAACCTTCAGGTCTCCCATTACCAACTTCTGACCACCATCCAACTCACTTAAATCAACATCAATGTATGGAGGAATAATATCCGCGGGGCATAAGAACTTAACGGTCCTCTTGATGGTATTCAGGTACAACCCTGTCAAATATTTAACATATATGCATGAAAGAGGATATTAATTACAAAAATAAGAGGATGCAGCAACTAAGATTCATACCGATAAAGAAAACTTGTGAAACATATTAAGAATATTAATAGCTTCAGAAGCAGCTAAAAGGGATATCATCGGTTGACAAGGAGACTGCCCCAACTCACCCTAGAGCAAACGTATGATATGATAACTGTTAAAGCGAGGATTTCTAGAAAACAACGAAAGATTGAGACAAATATTTAACTCCCTCTAGGCTACCATACATGATAATAGTAATTAAAATAAGCTGAATATAATTGAATAGATAAAAGAAACATCAGACAATAATATGGCTCATATGAAACCATACCCAGTAGTATTGTAAATCGCTCCATTCCATCTAAAACTATTAACTGCGATAGTGTGAGCACTAAGTAAACTACTAGAGAGCGAGGAAATAATTCCAAAACTTAGCAAGTTTTTACGCCAAGCAATCGCCAAATGTCTAACTGAACATCCTAACTCAGTGATCAAAATTAACACAAATGTTGCTCGTGTACCAGGGGAAATTTGCGGTACTATACCTAAGCATTATCATAATTCATAAAGGGTCAACAGAAACCAGACATTATATGAAAAAACTAATGCTTAAGCCCTTGAATCTATCCAGTCACGGTTCGCACTTTGCACACACCTAAACCAAACTTTTAGCCATTCAGGTAAAATTTGGTCAACAGAGCTGATATTAAACACCAAAAGAAATGCAATTATCAATTGTATGAGTAAACATTTTACACTGAGAGTTCACATCACCTTATCTTTTGGGCATGGAATCACCAACAAACATATAGTATTTAAGTATCTAATCCAATGAAATTATATTGACCGAAATTACAACCTTTTACCTTTCCTTAGCCCAGGGCAGACATCTTCCCCTCTAAATACAAGTGGAATATCCACCTTCAACAAAGCATTGGAAGGCGCCCTTATGAAGGTCACATTAAGAGGTGCCTCAGTCCCCGCATGTAAGTGAAGCTGAAACAAAAATTTAAAGAGATATATATATACCCATATTCAAATCCAACGGAGAACACAGCTGATTAAACAGAATTTTATTAAAAAAAAATTAAGTGAACTAAAAGGGAAAAAATCCATTACCTTCCTAGGGAGAACCCGTACTTTTTCAATCAAATCACCGCTCCCAAACTCCGATCGAACCTCAAGATCAAAAAGCCTAGAAACGAAAAACGACTCGCCCAGATGCTTTACAAGTTTTCTGATCTGATTGGTCTGAACAGAAATGAGCCTCTTGTTGCCTCCGTGTTGGCCATCTTCTTGCTCGAAAACGATGCTGGGGACCCGACCCACTTTTCTTTCTTTGGCGGAGATGTTTTTGCCGGAGGTGGCGCGTGGGACCGCGAGTATAGTCTCGGCGAATTTGGGGTCGGGCCTGGGGAAACCTTCGAGGTAGGTCAATGGAGACGGTGGATGTGAAAGGTCGAGGGGCAGGGCAGCTTGGGAGAAGAAGCGGAGGTGGAGGGTTTTGTTGGAGAGGGCGCGGTGGATCAACAAAGCCATCACCGGTGTTTGCGGAGAGCTTGGGTGTGGGGTTTTGGGGGGTTAAGGGAGGTTTTCGTTGCTTCAAAATTAGGGTAGTGGGCCGATACAATTTGATGCTGGGAGCTTTGGGTCATTCTAACCCCAACTACTAAATTTTGGTTTACTATATTAATTCCATTCAAATCAATTTAATTCTAAATATAGCATAAACCAAACCATTTTAATAGTTAAAAGGATAACTATTATCTCTAAAAAATTTGAGTTTGAACATGAGTTTTATAAATTAAGAAATAATTTTTGAATTTTTAAATAATAAAAATATTCTAATGTGAGTATGAAATTAAGGAGGAACATGAGTCGAGTTTTTTTGATCAATCTGATCCAATTTTAATTGTTAAAAATTAAATTATTTCAGTTGATAAAAAGAGTGTTGTTTTTTTTAGAGATTATGGGTTAGATCACCTACGTTTGTAGGGTACGTATGTTGTCAATGATTAAGAAAGATTCTGAACAAATAATATTGTATAATCACTTCAGGTTATTCAAAACTAATTAAAAAATAAAAGACGATATATATTGATTTTTGAGTTTTTAAAAATTTCTAATGTGAGTATTAGACCAGGGAGTGCCATGAGCTAGGTTTGCGACCAACTCGATCCGACTTCAAAAAAAAATATCTCTTTCATAAGTTTAGTTTGATTTGAATTTAGAAAAACTTTATGTGATCCAAGACTTATTTAGGGGATAATTATTTTTGCCTCAATATATATATTAATTTTATTCAATAAAATATGAATTTAATTGAAGAAAATATACATGGGTATTATTACAATTATCCTTAAATATATAAAGGATGATTACACTAGTTTCTTGAGTCAAATCAAATATTTTTCACCATAAAATTAAACTCAACCTGAAATGTATCCTCTAAATAAACCCGATTCGACATAAACCTAAACTTTTTTAAAAATTCACTCTACCTTATGAAATCAAATTGACGGTCGTTGAGTTAGGATATCGTGTCCATCCTTAAATATGATTATTAAAATTTAATTTTGATTATTAATGTGGTGTCTCAAACTGGTACGTTGGCAGACCGACCAAACAGGTCATGCCACACGTCTCAACATTGTCTTTCTATGAATTTTTTTTACTAAAGCTGAAGGGGCTCTCAACAAAAGTTGAAAGTAGCAAAATTTCATTTTTAGAATCTTTAAAAAAGCATCCACATCTTAATCCAAAAAAAAAAAGATGTTAATTATCTTATGTAATGTTCAATTCACTCCACGTTCCGGCCAAGAAGATGGGTAGTTTATATGAAAAGCTGTCTTACACTAACCATTTCCACATTGCAAACAAAGAAAGAGAGATGACGGAAAAGTTGCACCATATTTACAGAAGCACCGAATCAAAGGATCAATCCTTGGGCAGGTGCAGGTTTAGAAGGTTGCTCTTCGCTTGGAGATTCAGATAGATGAATCTGCCAAAGTCATCGACCACTTTTCGATTCCGTTCCTCCTCAGCTGCTCCCACTTTTTCTTTCGTCTTCTGTCCGACATCTCCCGCTGCTTTCGCAACCTTATTGAAAGCACCTGTTACCCATGATGCCCCAGTGAATACATACCTCTTCTTATTTATGGCAGATCCTGCACTGCGGAGCTTTTGCTCGGCAGTAGCAAATGCTGATTTGGTTTTCTCGGAAACCTGAAACTTCTGGTCCACTTCTCTTACTTTGTCACCAACGATGGTAGTACCGACATGTAACTTCTCGGTGAACCCGGTTTTCTTGTCGAAAGTTGCAACCTTGGCCGAGGCTGTTGATGTTAACTGGTTCTTGTCATCAAAGGCCTTTGCCTTGTTGACTGCATCTTTGCCTACAATGAAGCCCTTAGTGAGCATGCCGGTAACAACATCCTCGGCCTTTCTAATGGCAGAATCACCACCAGCACGAGCTTTGTTTTACGTTACCTGCAGAAAATAGACAAAAGTTGTAAGCTTAGCCCCGTATTGAAACTATCGATTCAGCATAACACTTACACGGATCGGCGCAGAAGCAGCAGGAGGCAGCTTTAAGTCTGGAGCTAAAGAAAAGCTCACTGATAGACCAACTATTGTTGCTCCCTGAAATACAAGTACTTAATCACTCATTTAATCCCTGTCACATAAAGAAATTTTACAGTTGGCAATCCAATCAACACATAAATAAATGTCGGTCAAGCAATCATTTATAACTTAATACCATTGCAAAATAAAAATTCTGGTAGAGCATATCATATTGCCATGTACTTCAAAGTAACTACACTATGATCTTCCCTCAAATTGATATCCAACTTAGCCGTTGACTTCGTATATAGTTTTAGGAGAAACCAATTGTCATAACCATTTTTTTTGTAAAACAATTAAATATTATTTTAAAAAACGATTATCACTTTAATTTGAAAATTTTGGTGATTTGGAATTAATTTGGAACTAATTAAATGGGAGTCGCCATCGACCTTTGAGCTAGGTAGGTCGAATACCCAAAAATATCTTTTAAAAACAATTTTAAGAAAAATAGTTTTTTAAGACAAAGATGGTATGCGTTTACTAAAGATTCAATTTAATGGATTCGGGAGTCGGTTACGTGTGGGGAAGGGTAAACACCCCCACAGTGCCCAAAATTGGTACTGTGTCATTTACGCATTGTCGTAATGGTGGAAACGATGAATCGAATATAAAATTAAACTATGATCAATTTATTGAGATTTATTTAATTTGCCTCATATTAATGAATGTTATGGAAAATTCTTTAATTCAAAAAGAAACCTCGAAATTAACAATCCTCCATCGGGAAATCTATTTCGACTATTTCTTCCCATAAAAGAATATTCCCTCATTAACAAAAATACGAATGGAATATATAAAAAAAACGATATTTACATACAACAAAATAAATTGATAAAAAAAAATCGAATATACATTGTAGAATAAAGATTGATAATTTGCCTGAAATGATATTAATTATCATTTAGAGACATTCATTGCAATGTTCGATTTAAAATGAAATGATTAGCAAAATAAAATCAAATTAATTTCAAGTTCACATTTGTTCGAATGTCATATCGGATTGTATCACTTCGATCAAGTGATACTTTCCATGCACGTTCTACAAATTTGTGTTCTTGAAAACATTCGAACAATATTTAAATAAAGAAATGCAATATAAATAACTATAAATAGAAATATGCAAAATACAATATTTACAACAAATATAGTCAAATATATTTTTTATATATGATACAAATACATAACATAAAAAAACATGTACATACATAAAGAATTAAAATAAAAGAAAATTAATATTACAAACCCAACTATAATGACCAAAAATAAAGTACTTGAAATTTCAAAGACCAAAATAGCAAACACATAAACTCAAAGAACCAAAATAGTACAAACATGAATTTTAAAGGGCTAAAGTCGAAGAAACACAAGTTAAGGACCAAACTGAAATTACACAGAAACATGAAGGATCAAAAATATTTAAACCAAATGCCAAAACAGTGACTAAAACAAAAGATGCACCAATCTGAGGGCCAAATTCGAACATCAACCAAAATCACACAACACATGTAATAAGTGACTAAAATAAAATTATTATAAATATCATAGCCTAAATTAAAACTAATGAAATTGAAATAAATAACCAAATATGGACTGAAATGAAACAAATCTAAACTCTAAGGCGTAAAATCAAATAATTACACAAACCATGCAAATGAGGACTAAAACAATTTCACAGAAATACGGAGGATCAAAAAGTAATTAAACAAAATGTCGGACAGTGACCAAAATAGAACATTTGCAAATATGATGGCTAAATTCAAACACCCACAAAATATCATAACACAAGAAATTAGGACTAAAATGAAACTATTACAAACATTGGGACCAAAGTCAAATATCCACAAAAATGACATAACATACATTAATAGGACTAAAATAGAAATACCTAAACATAATAGACTAAATTAGTAAAAGCAGAAACTAACAGGGCTAAAAAGTAATTACAAAATAAACAGGGCCCAAATCGCAAACAACAACTAATACAAACATCAGAAATGTAAATAAGCCATAAATAATACTTAGGACTAGATTGAAATTGAAACAGAAACATGAAGACTGAATAATAATTAAACCAAAACGTAAAACAAGGACTAAAATAAAATATTTATAAATGTGAGGGCCAGATTCGAATATGAAAGAAACATACACGAAATATTAAATCAGTGGCTAAGATGTAACATTTATAAATATTGAAACCAGAACCAAATATAAACAAAAAATGTTATAATACCTAGGATAGTGACTAAAATATAAAAGTGAAAAGATAAAGGCTCAAATTGAAATAATGTAAACTTCATTCCATGGCTAAATCGTGAGATTACAAGGATCAAGGACCTACAGTGTAGTTTACCCCTTTTAATATGAGAAACACGGGAAGAATGATACAAAGATGTAAGGACCAAATAGGCTATTTACCCTTTCATGCTGAAACACGCATACCCTGAACCCCTAAAACGGCGTCATTTTGGTTCAATTACACAAGCCCAAAAACGGGCTTTCATTCATCCATCCCCCTCATTTTCCCCATCTTCTCCTCTCTCTTAAAAATAGAGAACAGAAGAAGCTCTCAATGTTCTCTCCTTCTCTGCCTTTGTCTCCGTCGTGGAGAGAAAGCCGAGGAACCACGGCCGCCGCAGCCGGCGGCGATGGCTTGAGAAATCCACCCATGACCAACCCTTCTCTCTTTCTTTGAACACTAACCCTTCTCCTACCCCAAGCAAAAAAATCGAAACCCCCTATTCAAAAACCCTAGATCCAAAATAAGGGAAAGTTTACCTTCAATACGGCCTTCTCTGTTCTGGCTAGGCTACAACGACGAGGTTTTCTACAAGGGTAAGATCTCCCTCACTTTGTTTTTTTTTTTAGCACTCTCTCTATTTTTTTCTGGTTATCACCGAATACTCTCTCCTTTTTCTTTTTTTTATCTCCCTTTTTCCTCTGATATCTTTGCTTGATTTATG